CTTAACTCAAGCTGGATAACTATATTAATATTAATAACAAACAGTATGGCAACAACACGTTGAGTCTAATACAAAGAAGGAGAAGAGAACGACTGTACAATGTTTGTGGTACTAGGAAATAGTGACAGAGTGAGACCTGTTTATTGGCGCATGGACGCTGATGAGGTTTTACTCTGTTGGTGTCCTTTGATTGATGCAATGCTGTTGGTGCCATAAAAGTAGAGTTCGGTACCCAGTCCTTATAATGAGACAGACTAGTGTCAACACTAGATAGGCCGTCCAAACAGGGAGTCAAATCCAGAGGATTTGTCACTATTCATAACATAAATAATAATAGGAATAACACTTATAATCAGTAATTCCTTCAGAAAGAACATGAATATAGACAGAAGCATTCAAATATGCATAAACTTCTGGATGATTAATCTGGATGACTAAGGACCCAGAATCTAAATATCTTGATGTAATTCCTGAAGTCTGAGCTGGATTTCATTGTCACAAATGATTGATCTATATCTTGGCCAAAGGTTTAGTAAATGTAATGACTTCCTGCTCAGGCCGATGTTTCCTCATTGCTACTTTGGTTTGTTGACTGTTGAGTAGAGCGGATCCTCTGGAGATCTGGATGGTTCATTGACAGTAGAGTAGGTTGGACTTTGGCTGTTCTTCACAGTAGAGTATTCACAGGCAGAGGAGCTGGGTTTGAGGATCACTGCCTCACCACCAGCTTTATCAGAGCTGTTTTTATTTTCAGTTGATGGTAGAGTGATGCAGTGAGGCAGAGGGGTTTGTGGGAAAGTTGGCAGTGGCATAAATCGTGGTCACTGCATTTCCTGAGTCTGGCTTCTGGACGTAGTCCTGTACCTCCTCGTAGACATAATCCTTCCAGGAAATAATGAAAAATACAGTGTGAACAAATCATATACAGCCATAACATTAAGCACTATGGATACAAATTGTGGTTAACATTGTAGGTTAAATCACAAACAGGGTAAAGGGCCAGTGTGTAACATTTAGGAGGATCTATGGATTTAATATCCATAACTATGTCTTCATTATAACAGGATCACCATTGCTGGCTAATACTGAAACTGTTTATGTAACATACGTAATTCTAACTCTTGCTCAGTTTCTCCAGCAATATGAATATTATCATATAACAGTTATACATTTATACACTGACCTCTCTGGTGTGCTCTGCTGCTCCATTTCTTCTGTGTTTTGAATGTGAACATCCTGACAGAAAGACATGGAAGAGAATAAAAAACAGTTGCACTTGTTGATGGTTTTGTATTTTCCAGTTTGGTTTCATTGAGTAGGATTAAACAGCCACTGTGTATCCCAATATTTATAGACATAAACCAACTTCCAGACTTAAAGAAAGTCATGTTCAGTCACTACTAACGTCATATAGTGTATCTGCTTTGGCTGTTTTTAGACATCACAACTGTACAAGATGGAGATGTCGTGAATGTGGTTTCTTACGTTTGTAGATAAGAATCAAGATGATCACAAACAGCAGCAGCAGCAGTACAGCAACACAAACAACCAAAGTAATGACGACCTGAGAGCCACCTGCAACACAAAGCACACAACAAAGAATAAATCCAGATCTGTTTAAAACACAGTCAACAAGTGTCTGAGTTGAGGAGTTTAAAGACCAATTTAAAGGCCTTATCTAGAGCCAGTGTTTGAATTGTACAAATATAAACATGAACATCCTCCTTCTCTTGCTATCAAATGTGCTCTCTTACCATTTCTTTTAGGTGAGATAATTTAGCTGCTTCAGTTTCAGGATATTGATTGTGCATGCTGGCTCACTGTTGTGGTTTACTGGGACGACACATTAAGACTACAGGCCAAAGTGGCCCAAATCAGGTTTTCTCTTTGCTCACCTGTGAGTCAGATTTATTTTTATGTATATTTACACTTTGGAATCAAATCTTTTCAATTCTGATTCAGGCCACTTTTATATGTGGTCCCAATCAGATCCAGTTGTGATGTCTTTGTACTGTGACCTCAGTGTGAACAGTCCTATCAGAATTTCTGTAACTTTTATATCGCTCTATATCGACATTCATCATGCGGGTCACTTTAGGACCCTGACCTGTTTACACTGGAATCTGATCTAGGCCACATTTAAAAAGTAATGTGAACAGCCAAACAAAAAAATAAACTCAGATCTGAGCATCTAAATCCTAATCAAGTACTTAGGCTCGCAGTGTGAACGAAGCCTTTGAGACATTGTTAAATCAGAATCAGAATCAGAAATACTTTAATAATCCCAGGGGGAAATTATTTAAATTAATTATTTAACAGTATTAATAACTCCTGTACATTTCCAAAGTTAAAATGCTGTGAAAAACGTTGAGTGTGTAACATTTTAATGGATTAGATTAGTTTATTTTAGCAAACAATCTCACTAATTGACATTTTTATATTGTGTTTAATCTGTACAAACACCTCTGTGTAAAAAGCATTAATAGTGAATTATAAAATAAATACATTACATCTGTTTTCCTACTAAAATGAGTAGGAACTTGATCAACTTTTAAAGGTTTTTATTGTTGCCTTCCTGCTGTCACATCACTGCAGTGTCACTCTGAAGGGAAGTGCAGGAAATGAACATAAGAGCATTAACAGCAACCAAACCACAGGTTGTCTGAGTCAGTCAGTATCAGCTCTTGTCAGGAGCTGGAAGTTAAAGTCCCCATTTAGTTAATGTTAATATCTTACACTGTACATCACCTATACGCCATTATCTGTCCCAACAATGACAAAAAGACAGTTTTTAGGTATTCTGCTGCTTCATGGGAACTTTAACAGACCAGTGTTGAGGATTTAGAGGCATCTAGCAGTGACGTTGCAGATTGCAGTCAACTGAATACTGCTGACCCGACAAGAATGTAGTGGAAACTATAGTTTCTGCAGATGTTTGGTTTGCCTGTACTGGACTGCTGGAGAAACATGATGGACCCACTCCCTCTGTAGATAAAAACAGCTCATTCTAAGGTAACTAAAACACAATCCTTCCTATGTTCTGGTATAACGAAGGATAATAGTGTTATTAACTTTATGTTTTAATTTGAGTAAACATTGTAAGAATAGCAAATGAAAACGTGTGTGTATAAGCACAATACACATTTTCTCTCCCCCACTCTCACTCTGAATGTCAAACCACTTCCTTTATTGTTTTCCTCCTCTGTAACTGTAGCTTTTAATCGTTCAGAAACATTCAGTATCTGAAGGGTTCATTTCTTCTTCTGCTAGGACTCATTTTGGGAGAGTCAGTATATTGTATATTTATTAAAGTAATTTCATAAGATAAAATATTTAAGTCCAGTTGTAATCAATAATGACTGTAGATTTCTTTTACTGACCCTCCTACAATCATAACCAGGGTCAGATTACATCCACACAATAAAAAACATGACTCACCTACAGTCATCAAGAATCTGTGGAAGAATGTGTTACTGCGTTTTGTGTCAGTGCTTCCTGCTCCACACCAGTATGTCCCACTGTCGTCTGCTGTTACTTCTCTCACTGTTATGGTGATATTTCTCTCTTTGTCTTCCTTCATGGAAAACTTTGTGTTCATCTTTTGCTGTACAGTGTTTACTAGAGGTTGACATATACAGTGCTGTGAAAAAGTATTTGCCCCCTTCCTGATTTCTTATTTGTTTTGCATATTTGTCACACTGAAATGTTTCAGATCATCAAACAAATTTTAATATTAGACAAAGATAACCTGAGTAAATACAAAATGCAGTTTTTAAATGATGATTTTATTTGTTAAGGGAAAAAAGCTATCCAACCTCACCTGGCCCTATGAGAAAAATAATTGCCCCTTAAACCTAAAAACTGGTTGTGCCACCCTTGTCCAGGTCCTGAAGCAGCAAAGCAGCCCCAGACCATCACACTACCACCACCATGTTTGACTGTTGGTATGATGTTCTTTTTATGAAATGCTGCGTTAGTTTTACGGCAGATCTGACAGGATGCACATCTCCCAAAAAGTTCAACTTTTGTCTCGTCAGTCCACAATATTTCCCCAAAAGTCTTAGGGATCATCAAGATGTTTTTGTGATTGTGTGACGAGTCTTTGTGTTCTTTTTGGTCAGCAGTGGTTTTCACCTTGGAACTCTCCCATGAATGCTATTTTTGCCCAGTTTCTTTCTCATTGTTGAATCCTGAACACTGATCTTAACTGAGGCAAGTGAGGCCTGCAGTTCTTTAGATGTTGTTCTGGGTTCTTTTGTGATCTCCTGGATCAGTTGTCGATGCACTCTTGGAGTAATTTTGGTAGGCCGGCCATCCCTGGGAAGGTTCACCACTGTTTTCACAAGTTTTCTCCATTTGTTGATAACGGCTCTCACCGTGGTTTGCTGGAGAAATGGCTTTGTAATCCTTTCCAGACTGGTAGATGTCAATGATTTTGTTTCTCATTTGTTCTTAAATTGCTTTACATCGTAGCATGATGTGTTGCTTTTTGAGATCTTTTAGCCTACTTCACTTTGTCAGACAGGTTAAGTGATTTATGGATTTAACATGTCTGGCAGTAATCAGACCTGGTTTTGGCTAGTGAAATTTAACTCAGCTTTCCAAACAAATTGGTTAATCACTGTTAATTCATGATTTGACAGGGGCCAGGTAGGGTTGGATAGCTTTTTTCCTAAATAAATGAAATCATCATTTAAAAACTGCATTTTGTATTTACTCAGGTTATCTTTGTCTAATATTAAAATTGGTTTGATGATCTGAAACATTTAAGTGTGACAAATATGCAACACAAAAAAAAAGAAATCAGGAAGGGGGCAAATACTTTTTCACAGCACTGTATATAGATCTTCTCCCTTACAGATACATTTCTTTATTGGAGCACCATTTTTATATTCACACCAGTATGTAAAATTCTGTCCAATAGTTAGAGACCTTGTGAAGTTTTTAATATCTGTAGACAGACAGCATTGACTGTATTTAACAACATATTTCAGAGAGACCTCAGTTATATGTGTGAGTGAATCAAACCTAGAAGTGTCAGATGTGTGCTGCTCACCTTCAACCTTCAGTTGGATTTTTCTGAGTCCAGTTCGGTAATTTCCTTCATTCACTCCACACCAGTAGAGACCAGCATCATGTGAGGACACATTACTGATGGACACACTGAATCCTCTGTTGGTTTCTGTGAGATTGTATTTTCTGTTTGACTTTACAGAAGAGCTCGTTGATAAAATCTCCTCACAAGTGAATTTATTCTCTCTGCAGAGAAACTTGTCACTGAACCTGTGTTTGTTTTCTGGATAATCACATGTGATGGTGGTTTTAGCCGTTCTGTACACAGTTTGGTTAAATTGTCCCTGGCAGCCATCTGTCTCTGCAGAGAAAAAAGAAAAAGGAAAATATGTGAAATCTGTTCATTATGTGGAATTTTATTTCCAAAGTATGGGGAAAATTTCTTTTTTTTAGATAGTTTGCTTGTGTAATAGCTCAGTTCTTTTTAATCTATCACCAAACTACAGCTCCTCCTTCAGTCATTTTTAAAATATGCTGGGAGGGAAAGTTCTAGCTCTTTAACATAGTTACACAGTGAATTAACAAAGGACATTGAGAGAGAGAGAGAGTGAGTTATACAAAAAAAATCTTACCAGCTGCCACTTTAACTTCATCTTCAACTTCGTCTGGTGAGTTCTGGTCTTGAAAAAATTCACACTCGTATTCCCCAAAGTTCTCCTGTTGAAGTTGTTTGATGGCCACTTTGAGTCTTTTATTTTTTGTATCATGATACAGAGAATATCTGCCTTTGTTTTCCCACTGATCCTTTTGAGTACTTCGTATTTCTGAATTGTTTGGAGGAACTACATCGATTATTTGGTATGTTTCACTTGCTTTATATTTGCAGTAGAATTCAACCCATCCGTCTCTGCAAACCTTCACTTCAGTTGAGGCCTCACAGCCTGTAGATCAAAGAGAAAAGTTATTGTGAATATGACCGATATCAATAAAACACACACTGTCTGGATCAAACACTTAATTAATCACAGATTTGATTGATTTTTATTTATTTATTCAGGTAATTTCTGAGAAAGATCTGGAAAAGCCTCCGTTCCTAAAATCTCAGTATAGATCTTATAAAATACATTTATAATATTATTTTTGCATTTCTGACTCAACTGAGATGTCTCTACTGCACCGATGTTACTATCTGTAAATTATATATGAGCCTATTTAAAGGCTCAGTAATGAAAATAAATAAATGAATAAAACTTAAATAAAAAGGTGATATATCATCAAACTGCCAGAATCTTAAAAATTACAGTGATATGAATTTTGTTCGTCTGCCCAACCCTCCTTTATATTACAACCCATAAATGTTACCCCCTGTCCACCATAAAAGGTTTTGTGTTATTTCTTTACAGAATATGTTGAAAAAAGATTTTTAGAGTCAGGTATTAATAATGTTTTTACCTGCCATCAGTGAGAGGAGGAGCAGAAAGATCTTCATCATGTTGGTCTTGCTGCTCCTTGGTCATATTATTAAACTCTAGCTGGTTATTTCACTTCTACAGTCGGTCGGTCTGAAGCGTTTCTTGAATGTCTGTTGTATGTTACCTAAACACTGGTCCTTCCCCTTTATTTTTATACTCCTTCCTCAACAACCTGCAGATCAGACAAAGACAAAAGTTCACATCATGTCAGATACTGAGACAATCCCAGAGCTACTGCAGCAGTCTAAACTACTATCAACTGTGTTTTAAACTATTTTGGACTTCTTTTATGTAGTTGTACAATAAAACTACCCTTCTGCTATTATTTTTATTTTCTAGCTGTTAGTAGGCCTGTCACGATAACAAATTTTGCTGGACGATAAATTGTCCCAGAAATTATCACGATAAACGATAATATTGTCGTTCCGATACCATTTTCATCTAATATAATGATAATGGCATAATAATGCAGGTACACCTTTTCAGAGATCAATAAACTTTTATTTCTAAACAATATGTAACACTGGAACTGGAAGACATTTTAAATATCCACAAGGAATGAACAAAATAAATAAAATGGACTCGCTGTTGTACAGTTGTGGAATTGTTGTTTGTGACACGTATGTTCTCCCAGGCAATTCGTACTGGTTGTCAAATGTTTACATCATTCGCCGAAATGCCGGCTTTTCGATGATACTAAAGGGCAGCATCTCCTTAGCAATGAAGCAGACTACACTGTCTGTGAGTGTGCACCATTTTGCACTGTCCTGTTTGTACGTTGTTTGTCGACTAAACGCCCCAGTGATTGTGTACTGTCGAGAAGCCGGAGACGGCCCACCTGTGGTAGTTTTTTTCCCAGCTGGGAAAACTGCATCGGATGGTTGTGTTTGAGGTGCATATGCATGTTTGTCGTGTTGCCGCTTTTAATTTATACTTTTTTTCCACAAATGCGACATACCGACTCGTTCAGGTTTGGTGGTTCACCTCGGTCATTCGGTCAGAATCCGAAGTGTTCCCACACTGCAGCTTTGGCTTTGACACTAAATCCATCTTTTCCTCCAACTCTCAACGGGCGTTTTCTCTCGTTATACTCCTCATGCGGCTCTTTTGCTGTACTCTGTGGTAGGCTACACCAGGAGTCTCGCCTCCCCACACAGAGATTGACAAGTGACTGACACGAGGGTTCACTCCTCGTTATGCTAACGAACCAAGAGGGGTCACCTTTTCACCGGAGTGCTCATCCAGTCTCTTTGGTAGAGAGAGAGACGAGGAAAACAAACAAGCATGCAAATGGAAATTATTGCGGCCGAAATAATTATCGAGCTCATTTTATTTATCGTGCGATTAATTGATTTATCGCATATCGCGACAGGCCTAGCTGTTAGCATTAAATTGTCTGTAATCAATTTACCTGAAAGAGGTTTCTTGTAAGCTCGAACCAACGGATCACCTACTGGAGAATTTTACATCTTTTAGCTCAGTGTTTTTGGTTTTAAGCTCGACTTTACTGTTTTGGTTCACTCACTGCTCTCATCCATACACTGCAGGGTTTCCCACAGGCTGACAGTTTATGTGTTGCTCTCCAATATTAAGCTATTGTAAACATTTGAAACCCCTTACTTATTTGTTAAATAATACTTATTTCCTTCAGTAACGTTACTGTTTTCCATACAAGCCACTTTATCTCTCACACACACACACACACACACACACACTGGTACTGGTGCTCTGTCTCTCTGTTTGTGTCTCTGTTGACTTTCTTCAGCAATAACATTTCTAAAGTTGCCCAAAAAGCACAACTCGCATTGGGTATTTTTTCACCAACAGCAGGTGAGCAGTGTGTGAAGGAGACTCATCCTTTCCTGGTCTGTGCTGGTAAAATAAACATTGTAACTGCGCCACAGAGCGTCTGTCTCTGTGTGTCTCTGCAGTGTGACTGTCAGTGGACTGTAGGAGGGGCAGAGAGAGGGCAGTTACTACCAGTAGTTAGTCGATCGTGGATATTACTCTCTCTCTCTCTCGCTCTCTCTTTTCACATCATCACAATTTTAAGTTGTTTTTTTTTTTCGTGAAAATTAAACTTATGATTCAAAAAGGATCATTCCCACAATCAATCTGTCCTAATAATTTCAATATGATGTTTTTACCACATCGTGCAGCCCTACTCTGCACCATGGAAGCTAAATCATTAGTTATTCATTTTCATAATTAACTGCCCCTTATTTTTTGTAAATCACAAATAAAATAGAGAATATTTGTTTGACAGCCCTAATTTGAAGATTTGTCTGTGTTATTTAAAGGCCAACACTTATTGGATTAACTAGCTAATGAGTTTAATGATAGCAAGGCAGCAGTTTTAAGACTTTTCAGGGGGTTTGTGTTGTCCATCTGAAAACCTCTCATGATTATCAGTAAGTCATCACAGGCAACGGTTCTGGGATATGTTGAGAATGATTCATATCCAAACACGTCTGACAGCTTCATATTCTAATACATTATTTTATTAAACTAGCCGAAAGCAAACCACAGGATGTAACAGTTAATCTAATGTCTAATATCAGGAATCAGGCAGTATTAATGTTTCTTTACCTGTCATCAGGGAGAGGAGCAGTAGAAGAGAGCTTCTCATTTTGATGATCTTGGATGATCAGTGAAACTATTGAGACTATTAAACTCCAGTCTGTTTGTCAGTTCCTCTTCTCATTTGTTGCACAGCCTCGTTTCCTGAGAAACGTTAATATGCCCGTCTTTGTGTCTTCTTCCTCTTTCTTTCAGTATTTGTATATCACAGCATTATCTGTAACAGTCCCAGCAGAACTGCTCACTGTTTAACTGAGGTTTGTAGTCAGAAAGGTTAGTTACATGGTTTGATTTGAGTAAAACCAGAGTACAAGTTCCTTTGAGCAAACATTTGTTACCTGTGTTATTTATGAGTTATGAGTTGTTATTAATTGTGTTCTCTTTGTGGTCCTCAATTCTTTTGCAAGTTATATTTTATGAGGAAATGTAGTTGCTTGTTACATTTAAAAAAAAATATGTAGTCAGTGAACATTTTACTGATCTGTTCAGTATCAGCATTTTGCTACTTGGCAGATACGTTAAGATTTCCTCATGATGAGTACTTTAAAGAGTGCAATGTTAGGGACTAATGTGGTTGAGTGGGCTGGCAGTGGAAGGAGTCACTGGAGTGTAGCAGAGAGGTTGAATGATGGTGTAATGAATGAATGTAGGAAGTGGGGACAGTTGGGGGAAAGACGAGAGCGAAACCTAACCAACTAAAACCCGCAGTAGGTGGAGCCTGAGGTCCTCAGAGCCGGCTGTTAGCTGTAGACAGCTGAGGCTGATGAGCAAATTTTGCTTTTATTTTTGTAGCTTTTTGACTTAAACAGCCTCAAAGTGTGAAAGGTCAAATTTTAGCATCTGTTCATTTGAATGTTCCTGAAGTAATGTCATATTTTATGGTTTATATGTAATCACATGTACAGTACAATTTGTTATATCGATTATAGAATGAAGACAACCACTCTAAGCAAAGGTTAACCTTTTTTAATATCACTATATGAACTATTTTTGTTAATCAAATACAGTGTTGAATTATTCAAAAGAGAAAAAAAATGACACATTGTACAAATGCAGTATTTTAGTAAAAAAGGAACATTTCAAAAAGATTTGTTTTTAAACAATAAAACAACAACTGATGCATGACATATTGCACATAGAATAAACTGTATATACAGAATATAAATTACATTAGTATCAGTCTGCGGGTGATGTTTGGTATCAATGTTTAAAAAACTGTTGACGTACTGACTGGTTATTACTTTAATCTAAAATGTTTATATTTGATTTACAATATTCTTGTAGCATTCAGTATTTGAGATTAAAGGGATCCATTAAAACAGATAAATACATGGCACGACTGTAATTTGTGTAAATAAACTGACTTTACTCGTGATAATATAAGATAAATCAAGAGTGTTAACATTTTTGGTTTCAGGGTTAAATCCATGTTTTTTCCAAATAGTCTTTAATTCAAAACCACGAGTCCTCAAACTTTACATTTTCATATTCCTGTAATTGTATCTAACCTTACCCTCAATATGGACCAGTTCAACCAGGACCGACACATTCATGTTACTTCAGGGCCCAGAGTAATGTAATTTCTAAAGTCTGTGTATTGTTTGAATATTAAAACACAAATCCCATCACAAATGAACGAGGTGAAAACTGCCAGGACCTTCCTCACTGTGGCTTGTTGACAGTAGAATAGAAAGGGTCTGCAGAAGATCTGGATGGGTGGTTGACCGTTGAGTAGGTGGGATGTTGATCACCGTCGTTCACAGTAAAATATGTGTTACCACCAACGTCACCAGAGCTGCTCTGAAAGTTGATGTTGGAGTGATGATGTGGGGCAGAAGAGGGGTTTGTGGGAAAGTTGGCAGTGACATAAATAGTTTTAAGTGCAGTTCCTGAGTCTGGCTTCTGGGGGAGCTCCTGTATCTCCTCATAGGTACGATCCTTTCAGAGCAAAACACAGGATGAATAGTTCATATGCATCAATAATCCTAACAATAAGCATTAACCATACAGTTTAACATCATCTGGTTTGCCCCCAAAACTAATAATTGCTCTTTAAACCTTTTGTTTGTCTCCCCCTTCTGGCAGTGAGAGTAATTACACATAAACACAAGAAGACTTCTTCCACAGTGTGTTACAGTCAGTGCTCAATACAAAATCCAACTGATATCAAACTGTCTTCGTCTGTCATTGAGATAGACGTCGTAGGTTGAAGTAAATTACAAAGCATTGGTTGAAGACTTTAAATTAAAACTAACATACATTTTTGATGCTTGTGGCATCCTGCATCTATGTGTCCGTTTCCAATTACAGACATTTACATAAATATATAAACTTACCTCTTTGTTGTTCTTTGCTTCTCCGTTTCTTGTGGTTTGTAAACACAGTCCTGACAGAGAAAAATGAGAAAACAGAAGAACAATCAGGATCTACTGACCAGGGAAGAACCAACACAGTTACACCTGCTAATGTTTGTTTTTAAAGCCTTTATGATTTAACTATAGTATACACACAGTTCTTGGGGCTTTTTTAGGGATTGTTGTGGCCTAAAATGCCTGATTCCACATCAGATTTGAGACATTGCGATGCCTGTTGTGTTTTTTTTGCAATGATATTGTGAGAGAAAGTGAAAATTAGAAAAATGGTTATGATTTTTTTGCTGTGAATTTAATTAAAAATGTAAAGCTTATTCCGGTGAGAATAAAATCACACAGTTTGAAGGGTAAATGTGAGACGTTCGTGTTGCACATGTCTGCGTGGTCTGAATCCTCACAACTACAAACGAGAACGTGAGTTTGGTGACGTATGGCTCAATGTTTTGTGCAGGAAACTACAATGATTGGTCAAATTTGTTTAAAAAGTTACAGTGACAGGACAATTAATTGGTTTATTGTTGTGACTGCAACTTCTCCGAGGGGCTGGTAAGTGTGTATCCTGAATGTGTGTTAATGTGTGTGTTTGATATTGTGCAAACTGGAAATCTCTTACCTTTGTAGAAAAAAAGCACAATGAGCAACAGCGCCAGCACAACGACACAGATGACCACAACAATGGTGACAGTTAACACAGAGCTACCTGCAAGAGAGAAAAGCACACAACAAAAGGACGATTATAAACTTATTTAAACAACTATTAACACAAAATCAATAACCGTAACATCTTCCTGCCCCTCTGCCTCTGCTGCAACAGCTCTCAGAAAACACTCTCACCACCACTCTCAGCAGGTGCAACGGTTGATTGGGTTGAAGCAACCGACAATGTAGCAACAGGATGATCGGATGTTGATGAAGTAATAGAGGGTGTCGATGTGGTTGGAGACACTGAAAATAGATTTAACAGATTGCAGTGAAGTGTAGAAAATAAGAAATATAATTTGGTAAAATCTGGTAAAGAAAATCCATAAAAAAAAGAAAGAAAATGCCATCATGAACCTGGTAATCAAATTGTCAGGTTTACATATAAACAGGAGTCAGATTACATCCAAACAATAAAATAATGTGACCACTCACCTACAGTCAACAAGCATCTGTGGAAGAATGTGTTACTGCGTCTTCTGTCAGTGCTTTCTGCTCCACACCAGTATGTCCCACTGTCGTCTGCTGTTACTTCTCTCACTGTTATGGTTACATTTCTCTTTAATTTGTCTTCCTTCATGGAAAACTTTCCGTTGTTCATGTTGCGCTGTGCAGTGTTTACTAGAGGTTGACATATAGATGGATCTTCTCCCTTACAGATGAATTTCTTTATCGGAGCACCATTTGTATATTCACACCAGTATGTAAAATTCTGTCCAATAGTTGGAGACTTTGTGAATGTCCTAATATCTGTAGACAGACAGCATTGACTGTATTTAACAACATATTTCAGAGAGACCTCAGTTATATGTGTGAGTGAATCAAACCTAGAAGTGTCAGATGTGTGCTGCTCACCTTCAACCTCCAGTTGGATTTTTCTGAGTCCAGTTTGGTAATTTCCTTTATTCACTCCACACCAGTAGAGACCAGCATCATGTGAGGACACATTACTGATGGACACACTGAATCCTCTGTTGGTTCCTGTGAGAGTGAATGTCCCGTTTGACTTTACAGAAGAGCTTGTTGATAAAATCTCCTCACAAGTGAAATTATTCTCTCTGCAGAGAAACTTGACACTGGACCTGTGTTTGTTTCCTGGATAATCACATGTGATGGTGGTTTTAGCCGTTCTGTACGCAGTTTGAAGAAATCCCTGGCAGCCATCTTTCTCTGCAGAGGAAAAAGAAAAAGGAAAAAATGTGAAATCCGTTCATTATGTGGAATTTTATTTCCAAAGTTCGGGATGAAATGTCTGTTTTTGAGATAATTTGCTTGTTTAATACCTCAGTTCTTTTTAATCTATCACCAAACTACAGGCAGGCTTTATTTCTGAAATGTCTTTCAATCTCTGTATTGTGTCGTTGACTGAATGTTTTTATTGTTGTTTTAACAAACTTCACTCTCTTATTGACACAGATAATAATAATGATAATAATAATAACAACAACTTTTGATTGATTGTTTGATTCATTGATTGATTCATTGTAATTAATTACTAATTGACTGAGATTGATTGATTGATTGTGACTGTGATTGTGATTGAGTCAATCATAGTCACAGTATTACCAACAGTATAGAGTATTGATTATTATTCATTTATTGTAAATATTGTTTTCCTTTATTGTTATTATTATTATTATTATTAATTCCAAACGCTTGCTTTGGCAATATGTAGAGAGAGAGAGAGAGAGAGAGAGAGAGAGAGGGAGAGAGAGACAGAGAGAGAGGGGGGGAGAGAAAGAGACACAGAGTGAAACATAGAGAGAGAGAAGAGCAGAGAGAAAGAGGAAACAGAGAGAGAGAGAGAGAAAGAGGGAGAGAGAGAGAGAGAGGGAGAGAGAGACAGACAGAGAGACAGAGGGAGAGAGAGAGAGGGAGAGAGAGACAGGGAGAGAGAAAGAGAGAGAGAGAAAGAGACAGAGAGACAGGGAGAGAGAGACAGGGAGAGAGAGAGAGAGGGAGAGAGAGACAGAGGGAGAGAGAGAGAGAGGGAGAGAGAGAGAGAGAGAGAGAGAGAGAGAAAGAGACAGAGAGACAGGGGAGAGAGAGACAGACAGAGAGAGAGAGGAGAGATTTTTTTTTGGAGAATTTAAAAAGAGAGACAGGTGTGAACTTTAACTTCCACCGGTCACCCGGCACAACAGCTCTATGAGCCCACTGCTGCTCAAAACATCTGTATTCCTGTGACCCTTGGAGAAACAGCCTCAGTAGTACAGCACAGAGAGACGGAGTCAGGTAGATGACATTTTAGCCTCACCAATAAAAAAATTTAGGAGTGAACATTTTTTTTTTTTTTTTTTTTTAAACCAACTCAAAAAAAAAAAAAAGGGGAAAAAAAAGACACCAAATAGATTAAAAACACGAGTTAAAACGTTAAAAATGTCTGCCAATCTCCTGCACTCAGTAAAAACATGGAAAATGTTCTCGTCAGTCCAGAATGGGCACTCCTTTACAACACTGTGGTTAAGAACAGATAAAAGGCATTGGTGGCAATGGCACCATGTAAAATCCTCCACTGGAGGTCTCGTTCTTTTTTTTAGAGGAGGTTTGTATAATGTTCTCCACTGGGGCTCACCCACCCAGCCTCTCATCCACACACTGCGCTCTGTCACACAGGCGAGTTTTGTGGATAGTTTTTACACAGTTTGTGTACAGAGTTTTTTGTCAGTCTTGTGTAGGCTCAATGTCCTCCCATCATTGTGTCTCGGAGGGGGCCGCTGAGCTCTGTGAAACCAGGGAAAGTAGATCTCGGGATAGGGTCTGTGGGGTCGCTCAGCCTCTCCCCTGCCGTATTTAGGGAAGGATTCTCTCCTTCTCCGTCACCTCCTCCTCAGAGCTCTAGGCTCCTCTGCGTCACCGGACAAGCGCACCCCAGCACAGAGCCCAGAGAGTGGACATCTGTGAGCTCTGGTCCTGCTGCATCTATCAGTTGTTTGAGGCAGACAACTCTTGAGCTGCACAGCACCCCATCAGCCCAGGCACGGTGCTGCAGCACACGTCCATCTTTGCACCACAGATTATAGGCTCCTTTAATAACCAGTGAGAGAGTTACACTTCTCACTTCTTTTACATTTAAAAAGCCCCAGGATTTAAAAACACCCTGATAAAAAGGAGGCAACCCACCTAACTTTAAGAATTTAAAATCAGTTAAAAACAGAGCAGCATCCAGCCCCAGGTTATTGACACGCCTGAGTATGCAGCTGGCCACGTCTCTCCACCAGATCTTCAGGTCCGTCAGATACTTTTGAATGAACTGGAGCCTGAAGGTGGCTGTCCTGCTAGCCAGGTGGACCAGGCCCTGGCCCCCTATCTCTGGATAAAAACAATACAGACTGTGGTATCCAGTGCAATTTGTTCCAGAAGAAATTGACAATCTTCACCTGGATCTGGGCAATGAGACCTGTTGGAGGGTCCAGACAGGCTAACCGGTGCCATAACATGGAGGCCACCAGATTGTTTAAAATTAGGACCCTCCCTCTAAAAGATATTTGTGGGTGAAGCCACCTCCACTTAGCCAGTTTGTTATCTACTGTTTCTAAAATGTTTTCCCAGTTTTTTTTCCAATGTCGCTGTTCCCAAGATAAATACCGAGATACTTTAAGCCTTCTCTTCTCCATATCAGGCTTTGAGGGAGAACAGGGAGGCCCTCCGCCATTCACCAACAGCAAGAGCCTCGCTCTTCCTCCAGTTCACCCTCGCAGCCGACACAACAGAAAACTTCTCGATTACAGAATTTAAAACACACACATCCTGTTGATCTTTGATAAAAACAACGACATCGTCAGCATAAGCAGATAAAACAACACTACTGTTAAAACCAGGTAAAAACAGGCCTCGAACAGATGATCTTATCTTTGTAGGAGGGGTTCCAGGGAGAGTGCATAGAGCATCCCAGACAGGGCACAGCCCTGCGGACGCCTCTATGCACTCTAAAAGGCACACAAGCCACCATTAAACTTTAGCACACTCTCAATGTCACTGTACAACACCTTGATCTTGGCTATGAGACCAGCGCTGAACCCAAACCTCTCCATGACCTTCCAAAGGAAGTCGTGTTCAACAAGCCTTTTCTTGATCTAATGAGATCAATCCAGTGTTTATGCCTAATGAACTGGAGACCTCCAAAACATCCCGAATGAGGTAGATATTATCTACCATAGACCTGCCGGCACACAGTACGTCTGGTCCCGGTGGAGAATCTGCTCCATGGTTCCTTTCCACCTATTAGCACTTTGAGACAGTATTTTGTAGTCAGTGCAGAGGAGAGAGACAGGACGCCAGTTTTGATTTTTCAAATGCCTTTCTTGGGCAAAAGGGTACAATACGGCTCTCCAGAGGTCCAACAATCTCATTAAAAATTATGGCCAAGTTTTCCCAGAAGGCTTTGTAGAACTCTACAGTGAGGCCGTGCCTGGAGCCTTTCGTCCCTGTGCTCTGCGTGCCGAGCTCTTGTAGTCAGTGGCTGTCGAGCTGCTGGTTAGCCTCTCTAGACACCTAAAGAAATCCCCCAAAAAACCCCCCCCAGTTTTGTCCTTCAAATCCTTAACTCACTCTCAAACAATGAGGCGTAAAACTCCACAGCTCTTTGCCTTATCAGGCCTGGCTCTGTCAGCTCTTGCCCTGTCTCAGAGAGAGAAGAATTTGTCTCTCTGCCTTGTTTCTTCTCAAGCCCAAAGAAAAAATCGATGGAGCACCATCTCCGTGATGTTTAACCCGGGACCGGACCAGCGCACCCTGTACTTTAGTGTCCAGCAGGTTGGCTAAAGCCATTTTTTTTGATTAGTCTTGAGGATTTATTTATGTCTCCAGATCTCTGATAGATCTGTGATGTCGCGTGTGACATTGGCTGCTGACATAAAGTTTAATTTGAACCTTTCCATGGTCCCACACTGCCTCAGAAAAACTTTTTTTTCTTTAAAAAAATTAAAAAAAAAAAAACCTCCTTGAAAGATTTATCAACAGTTAAAACAGAGTTAAAATGCCAATAGGCACTTTTGGGTAAATGTTTCTGATAAAAACATTACATAAAACCAAAAAATGAACAAAAAAACACTGGTAAAATCTTACACATTTAACAACACTGACTCTGTGCTTAAAAACATAAAAATCAAGTCTGGCCAAGAGATTCTGTTTTTCTAACGTGGGACCATGTATACTGTGTGTGCATCCTTCTCCACACCCACCAAGAAAGGAGGGAAAACCAAGGATGCTGGATACTGGATGAGGCTCTGCATGGTTGCGATCTAAAATCTCATTTTCAGTACAATTAAAATCCCCACCCACAAATAAATAATCCTCCGGGCCAAGCTGTTTAAAATATCATTATATTTTAAAAAAATTTTCCCCCTCCACCTTTTTTTAAAAAAAAAAAAAAAAAAAACCATAAAATGTTCAAAACGAGTTAAAAAAGACACCTCCCTCCACAACATGCCTGACCAGAGAGGTTGGAGTAAAACCTCTGGAGAACAGGAAGCCCACTCCTCACTGAGGGTGGTGTTATGGGTTAAAAAATTTTTTTTTTTCATTCTGTTCAGTCTGCCTCGTTTCCAACATACTGTGAGTTTCTTGTAGAAACAGAACATCAATATGTTTATTTTAGCCGTTTAAACACTAGTCTCTTTCTTGTTTCTCTGGCACCATTGACATTCAGACTGCCCACTTTAAAAACATTCATAATGATGGAGATGTTAAGAACAAGACTAAAAACAATCAATGAAATAAATAAGAATAAAATCCCTACATTCACCATCATTAAAAACTGAGTTGTTTTCTGACTTTAATAATCAGTTTTTCAGTCTGAATATTTCTTGGTAGTCAGCTCTGACTCTGCTCTGTGTTTCACAGTATACCTGGCTGAGTTATAGAAACCCTGCATATCAGGAAGTACTGTTCTAACACTGGCTTCCTCATCCCTTTAGTCTGTTGTAAAAAGACTTCAGTACATTGGCAGTATACACCTGAGCAGCAGCCTGCTGAGTGTGAGACAGGTCACTGCTGTCAGACACACACCCTTCACTGTCACTGCTGCAGATAGAGCTGCTCTGTTCTCTGCAGCACTCGGTTTACCGGCCAGACGTCCGGCTTTACCACCCACCTCCCGTCACATGCTTCTCCTCTTACTGCGTGTTTGGCAACCACGACTCACAAGCCTCCATCTCTTCCCTGTTTCCCGTCACTGTTTTACCTGTCTCCCGACTCACCTACAGCTCACCTGCCTCTCTCGCCTTACCTGCTTCACACTGTTTACCACGACCTCAATCCTTCCAACTCACCTGTTTTTTACCTGCCTACCCAACTCCCTACAACCTCACCTCCTCACCCAACTCACCTACAACCTCACCTGCCTCCCCAACTCACCTACAACCTCCCTGCTCTTTCCCACCTGGTTCCTACCTCTTCTGTTCACCTGTTACTTTACCTGCCTCCCCACTCACCGGAACCTCACCTGCCTCCCACACCTTTTCCCATCCTCGACCAATTCACCTGCATCTTTATCTAAATACACCTGTCCCACCTTACCTGTCCTCCTTTCCTCCCCTCCTCCCTCTCTCTTTCTCCGCCTGCCTCATTTTCCCCTGTTTCTCTGCTCCTGTTTTTCTTGCCCTGCCGCCAAGCCGCCCGTGCGGCTACATCGCGCAGTCACGGCCTTAATCAAATGTCCTTCGCCACATCCAAACATTTGTGATATGTTCAGAATGTACTCAAATCATCCACACGGACTCTGAACCGGTAATCAAACTTTCTTTTTTTGTTGACAACATAAGAGTGTCTCGTGAGACACTACATGTCTCAGGAGACTTACGCCGACAGACTTTTCTTATGGTGACACCACCTTTCCTTCTGACAGCTCTTTAATTAAGAATTCATCACTAATGAACGGGGAACATTTACAGTGATCCTTTAGCCGCTGTATCCGTATCACCGTCAAACATCCCATTCACCGTAATGCCCGTCTCCCCAACCTGTTCACCTGTTCTACCTTCTCCGACGAACCACCGACTGTTCATCGGCGCGGACTTAGCGTGCCCATATTTCCCACGGCCTGTACCCTCCCCCTGCCAGAGCCGGTCCGGTTTTAATACCGTGCTTCCTGTGCCTGAAAACGCTGCTGACGCATACCCGCCTCGCGAGGCTGACAAACAACAAACAAACACTAAACTAACCAACAAACAACCAAACACCAACCAAACAACACTAAACTAACACAACTCATTCCGAACACAACACAACGAAAATATACCAAAGAAAGAAATGAAGAGAAAAACACATTCTCCACCTTCACTCCCCCACCCCCCCAGAAAGAAAAAAAAAAAAAAAGAGAAAGAGGGGGGGAGAGGAGGGGAAAAAAAAAAAAAAAAAAAAAAAAAAAAAAAAAAAATAAAATATTATTAACTTTTGTCTTTTCCACTTGTATTCCCCAAAGTTCTCCTGTTGAAGTTGTTTGATGGCCACTTTGAGTCTTTTATTTTTTTAATAAGAATACAGAGAATATCTGCCTTTGTTTTCCTACTGATTCCTTTGAGTACTTTGTATTTTAGGTTTTTTTGGAGGAACTACATCGATTATTTGGTATCTTTTATTTTCTTTTGGATATTTGCAGTAGAATTCAACCCATCCGTCTCTGCATCCCTTCACTTCAGTTGAGGCCTCACAGCCTGTAGATCAAAGAGAAAAGTTATTGTGAATATGACCGATATCAATAAAACACACACTGTCTGGATCAAACACTTAATTAATCACAGATTTGATTGATTTTTATTTATTTATTCAGGTAATTTCTTAGAAAGATCTGGAAAAGCCTCCGTTCCTAAAATCTCAGTATAGATCTTATAAAATACATTTATAATATTATTTTTACATTTCTGACTCAACTGAGATGTCTCTACTGCACCGATGTTACTATCTGTAAATTATATATGAGCCTATTTAAAGGCTCAGTAATGCAAAATAAATAAATAAAACTTAAATAAAAAGGTGATATATCATCAAACTGCCAGAATCTTAAAAATTACAGTGATATGAATTTTGTTCGTCTGCCCAACCCTCCTTTATATTACAACCCATAAATGTTACCGCCTGTCCACCATAAAAGGTTTTGTGTTATTTCTTTACAGAATATGTTGAAAAAAGATTTTTAGAGTCAGCGCAGTAACATTAATTCATCTGTAATATAAGTTATCAGGTATTAATAATGTTTTTACCTGCCATCAGTGAGAGGAGGAGCAGAAAGATCTTCATCATGTTGGTCTTGCTGCTCCTTGGTCAGATTATTAAACTCTAGCTGGTTATTTCACTTCTACAGTCGGTCGGTCTGAAGCGTTTCTTGAATGTCTGTTGTATGTTACCTAAACACTGGTCCTTCCCCTTTATTTTTATACTCCTTCCTCATTATACATTCCTTCTCTAAATAACAGTTACGAGGAAATGAGTGGTGAGGCAAAGCAAGAGAACTGCATCAGAAGTAGTAAAATAATAGGAAATAACTTTTATCACATATGAGGAGGAGGCAGTGAGCCGCATCATTGATCATTGTTTAGCTTTTTTAGATATCATAGTAAAATAAAACAAAATTTAAAAAATAAGTTAATTCTATCTACATATACCATCTATAAATGTAAAAATAAATTAATGGGAGAATAAATGGAACTTAATTTTATTAATACATAAAGGAGAAGTTGGGATTTGAACGGTGTTAATATCAGCAGACATTGTTCTTTAAAGCCAGAAGCTACTAAAAGTTTATAACAGAGACATATAGGAACTGAAAACAGTTGTGATGACTCTACATATGATTTAAATGATAATAATAAAATGATAGTAATCATGATACACCCCACCCACTGTCTACAGGTTGTTTTACAGTCTTGCATCATCAAACTTAAACTATATAAAGCAAACAGGATGTGAATCATATTAAATTCCCTTCACAATGCAAATTACCAGGAGAAATGCTCACTAATGAGGTGGAACCTTACACTTAGCTTTCCATATGTCACACTTTAATCAAGAAACCTGCACTGACCATTAAATCGTTCACATGAAAATCTTTGTAAATCAAGATTGTTGTTAAACTGGATGCCACCAAATATCTACAGCAGGGGTCGTCAAATGCTTTGTCCGAGGGTCAGAGATATTCTAAAGCGTCAGACTTTCAAATGAAAAAATGAAATCAAGTTAGGCCTAATTAATTTAATTAAATATTTTCACTTTAATTTTTGAATTCAATTCAATTTTATTTGTATAGTGGCAATTCATAACAGAAGTTATCTCAGGACACTTTTCAAAAAGAGCAGGTCTAGACCGAACTCTTTATAACATTCTGTATTCTTGTTTAAATGTTATTTTTAAATGTTAATTGTATTAGCCTGTCACCTGTGTGAATGGACCTCCACCAAGGAGCTAGTTCACAGAGTTGTAAGTTAAATCAAATGTAACCAGACCTAACCAGGGTATCTGGTGATCTTCCCAATTACGTTCATGCTTTTACATAGACATACTAACCTAATAACCTCTGTTCCCTGTCCTCACAGCCACAGTAACTCACTGTCACTCCTGCCTGCCCGAGCAAGGTGCAAGAGGAGAGGGAGAGACGCTGCGCTGTCAGTGTCCTCTTTCCAGGCTGTCATCAGTTATAAATTTGCTTTACACTTTGTGACAGTGTTGACGTGAGCGCGTATGAAAAGTATCAGTTGTGTCTCACAGTCAACGTGTGAGAGTTGAGAGCTTGTATTTTTTCCTGCTCACATTTTATGAATTCCTTAATATTCTGTGGGCCGGATGTGGTCTCTGGAGTGGTGCTCCTGGCCACTCAAAAGTTGAAACTGTCTTACCAAGAAAAACCACAGCATCAGTTGTTTCCACAAGTGCAATATTTGTTTACATTGAAGTGATAAAGCCCTCTCGCCTCTTGTTTAATTTGGAAGCCTTGTTGTAAAAGTTTCTTCCTTATCTGTGGACATAAGAAAACATTGATGAACCAAATTTATTGAAAAGTTGAGGTCAAATATGTGCAAAAAAAAATGTAGGTGCACCCAAAATTTCCATTGCGTCGCCTTTAACGCCGTAAGGTCACCTTTTTATCGCTCTCCATAACTTTCATATAATGTGAATGATTCTCAAACAAGAATAAGGTGTAGAGAAATGCTTGTCTTTATTAGAAGCACAATAAAAAATAAAGTGTTTAAAGTGCTTCACTGAGCTGAAATTAAACGTTTCAAACTAAAACACTGAGCAAAATAAAACATTTCTATATAAAAGTGCTTGTGCTTAAATTGCTTCACTGAACTGAAATTGAACATTTCAAACTCAAACATTTCAAGTAAAATAATTATTAATGATAATAATAATGATTACTACTACCTGCCGCTGAAATGCAACTGGGAGAGGGGCCACTTTCACTACACACACTTGTCACGGCATATCGTGTATTTTTAGACATGTTATGTTTTTTTAAAGTTTCGATACGAAACGTTGTTGACCCGCTCACGAATGCACTATTTCCGGCCATATTCTGACCGCACTCCTGACAGTACACGCAGTGCATTGCATTACGTCCTTTGTTGAACCTCAGCCAGGGAAATAGTTTCAGCCAGTCCTGTCTGAAGGAATATATTTTGGCCTTTTTAATTTGGGTCTCGGAGCCGGGCTCTATCCCAGACTCGGTTGTCTCCTCCTCTGGTTCCGAGTCTGATGCTGTCGCCGAAGGACCGGGGCTTGGTATCTCACCAGGGACCGAGGGCTCCGTGTCTTGACGGGATGAACTCTCAGTAGTGGGGATGGATGGGATTATAGTAGTAGGGCTGGTTGTAGGCTTGGTTTTCTTAATGAAAAAACTTTCAATATTTCTGCCTCTCTTCATTTTCCCTTGTTTTGTCGCGTTTATTTCATTTTTCCGTTTCAGTTAGTCAGCTACTCTCGCGCTCAGGTCGCGTGCAATTTACACAACTTAGTGAACAGGACCACAGCTAATCAGAGGCAAAGACCCGCCTGAGCTCTGTATCTTATTGGTTTAGAACACGATATGATCCTACCATGAGTGTGTGAGTTTGGTCACAGGAGAACACAGAGAGATGATGCGCTTGCGAAATAAATTTATGTTTTCACCCGGGAAGCGCCAGGTGCACCCGTGCGACCTAGAAAAATTATTAGTCGCACTCTTAAAAATTTTGGTCGCATGTGCGACCAAATTGGTCGCACTCTGGAGCCCTGAGCATACATGTTTTTACGACAGCCCAAAACCAAATATAAGTCATCGGTCAAGAAGAATCCGAGTTAACTCGTATTTGTTACCTGGCTGCTCCGATGCTCTCCGCTTCGGTGCTGACCGTCAGTGAAGTCGGCTAAACCACTTTTGAACCAGACGATTGAACAATGGAGTGTACCATCCTGTGTTTTTACCCTTTAAAATTAGCCATAGTGTTCTGCAACAAGTCATTGTTAAATGGGTGTTTGGTCTAAGATGACCTGGAGTCACAATGGGGAAGCTAGACGAGCAGAGGTCTTGCGACAAGACAGACACCATGTCGAAGTACAGGACTGATTGGGAAAATGTGGGTGGGGAATGTGTCCTTAAGCAAGGCGGTGACCATCCTCTTTCTCCACCACCAGTGTTCAATAACAGTGTGTGAATGTGTGAAACAGGGTGTTAGTGGATCACAACAAGTGTGAAATAATGAAAATATAACAACAGTGGTTGCAGAAGAAACCATTAAAGTAGCATCCAGCAGTGTGAGTACCAGAAAGTCCTCACACTGACCTCCACACACACCATCGGATTGTGTTGATGGTGTCGAAACCTACGATTTAAGGCCATCTCTCACAACTAATAACACAGATCATTTTTCCTGACAATCCTCTCTGAGTATCTTGGCTGTGTAGAGTGGGAGGGACACCCGCCTTATTTCACGGAACGCTAATGGTTTTTGGCCCATGCCGTGGGTTTGGAGTCTGATAACGTGTGTCATCTGCTCCAAGTGAAACATGGAACAATGGCTGAGTGTGTGTTTATGGTTTATGAGTGCGTTTGTGATCAGTGGGACTGCCAGCCAATCTGGAAAGAAAACACAGATAAGATAGAGATTTTATACGGTAAGGGGTCCGTAGAGCAAATCCAAGAGCTCAAACACACACGCAGAGCTGATTGGTGTTTATAAAGACTCTGGCTGTGATTTATTGAGATTTATTAGTTATTTACGACCTGCTGGTGAGAAGAACATTTACAAGAGCGAGTGAGTAAAAGCTGAAGTCTCAGAGCGAGTGATGAACAGCAGACCATAAAGAGGAAAGCAACCTTATATGTGATGGTTTTAGTACATATTTTAGTTTGTATGTGTTTAGTTTGGTGTTTTTGTTTGATCATTTGTTGCCATAAAGGGATCTTAGTTACTGGACTTGGCATTTCAGATGTAAATACATCAAGATGTTTCATAGAAGGATAGTGATCTGATCGCTTAAACCACATCCAGGAGTGTTCTGAGACACCAAGACATTTGTTTAGAGAAGAATCAGAAATAGTTATTGATGGGAAATTTGGTAACAAATACTTCATATACCAATTTCTCAGCTCGTCTAAGGGCCCAGTCGAACCAGGATTTTGTAGTTTGTGAAGCCATACAAGACATCAACTTCATTAAAACAACTCTGATTTCAGCTGCAATACAATTGGTTTTAAATTGTTTCATTGGCATAAGAAGTAGGAACAGCAAGTCCATATTTTGCAGATGCGTTTTTTTTTAATCCGTCATCTGATTCAGATGGTTACACATAGAAACCCATCGAGTCTGTTGAGTTGTATTATTCGATTTGTTGCAAAATTCACAATCCGAGATGGAGTCATCATACAATGAGGATAATTTTGTGGAAAATCTATTGGGTCCAAGAGCAAGGTGAGTTTCACCTGCTGATTATTTTATGAACTGTATTGCTTTGCTAGTGTCTTTGATCAACCAAATCTACCCAGCAGCAGCATCTTACTAACTGCTACTTTAGTGTAAACTTGAGCAGTCGCTTTCTTTAGTCTGTGATAAGGAGGCTGCAATCACCAATCACTGGGTTCCTGCTACACTGCTGTGGTCAGTCTGTCAATCACTCCTGTCTGTGTTGAGGCCACACCCCCTAAAGTCACTGTCCTCTCTGATGCATTTTTAAAATTTGCTGAGTGTGCGAGAGCTAGAAGAACTGAAAGTTACACTTTAAACTACAGCCTATTTTTAGTTATTACCCACAGAATGACTATAACTGTGGAGGGGGTATATCTCTATTTCTATAGGTCTTTTCTTATTTCACCATTTTAATTCTACTTAATTATCCACCTTATTTTGGTATTTTTGGTGTTTACTCACAAAATACTTTGTGTGCTTTTTCTCTCATCTTTCCCAACACACACCTACACCTCTGTCTTGAACACAGCGGCTACCCCGTTACTTTGTTGGTCAGCAGAAGGTTTTATAAAGAAACACAACTCACGTTTTGGATCTCTTTGACCCGTTTTCACAGCAGCAGGTGAGCCCTGAGTGGAGGAGGATCGGAAACCAAAACCAAACTGTTGCAAAGATAAGAAAAAATAACGGTTGTATCTGA